TATGTATTGAGAGTCTTCTCTTAGCAAACTTCTTAGTGATTTTGGAAGGTAGTTCGTGATCTTTACTCAGACTTGTTGAAATTTGCAGTATCCGTTCACTTTCTAGCTACTCTGAGCAATCACTCCTACGTTGGCTAAAGTCTTCAACTCCACAAACACTGTGTAGTGGGAAAAATTCGAGTTCTGAGAGCAGGAAAATCACTTAGACTTGAAAGGGCATCTCTTTGTAATTACATATGGTGATGAATGTTACCTAGACTTATTGTGGCGATCATTTTGCAATATATAAATATCCAATAATTGTACACCTGACACTAATATAATGTTATATGTCAATTATACCTCATTTTAACAAAAACCCAAAAACTGGTGACTTTCCAGGCTACTTGGTAGGTCAGTCAGAGTATTAGGTCCAAATGACTCTATGCTGCCTCCAAAATTCAGAGGCCCATTGGATACTCCACTTCTTTTCTGGCGGTAGGAGCCCGATGAAGCAACTAGTGCTTCGCCTTTGAAGGGCTATCTCAACATGCTCCACAGAAATTTTACCACGGTGACAGGCTCCTGAACTTTTGTGGGGTGTATTTCTCACTCTATGGCTTGCATGTATCTCAAAGGAGACTAAAGCAGCTGCTGCTTTTAGACCAAGGACTCAAAAGCAGGCCCAGTGAGCACGATACTATCAACATAAGGGACCAGTGTGTTATCCTGCAAAATGGAGAAGTGATCAACGTCCCTGCAGACTGGATTATTACAGAAAGCTGGAAAATTTATATGACCCTGAGGTGAGAGTGGAGGGATCTTGCTGGCCTTACAAGCCACAGGCAAACCATGCCTGAAGACTGTGTTAGTTTTGCAGGGCTGCCACTACAAAACACCATACATGGAATGGCTTAAATGCCAGGAATTTATTTTCTCACAGGCTAGAGTCCCAGATGAAGATGTCAGCAGATTGGGTTTCTTCTGAGGCCTCTCTCCTGGGCTTGCAGATGGCCACCTTCTTGCTGTGTCCTCACATGGTCCTTCCTCGGTCTGCATGTTGGCTGTGTCCTAATCTCCTCTTTCTATAAGGATGTGAGTTAAATTGAACTAGGGCCCACCTGTATGACCTTATTTTACCTTAACTATCTCCTTAAGGGCCCTGTTTTCAAACACAGTCACATCAGAGGTACTAGGGTTTGGGACTTCAACACATGCATTTTGGAGGGACACGATTCAGCCCCTAACAATGGTCAGTTTTTATAGGCATAAAAAACAAAATACTTTCCACACCAATAGCTGCACAGCAAGTATGAGCGGCTATGATGATTTGCTTCAGTAAAGAAATCACGGCAGGAACAGCAGGTGTAATTGGAGTCTTGATTAAATTTACCATGGTGCACTGATGTTTTTCTTGATAATTCTGTCTTCTGCACAGACCAAATAGGCAAGCTGAATAGAGATGTGGTAAGAATCACCACCCTCTACATTTTCAAGTCCTTGCTGACAGTACTTATCTTTAGAATTCCTCCAGGAAGGCAGTTTCCATTGTGTTTACCATTTGGGCAGGTAGAGAGAAGTCCGACGGCTTCCAACTGGCCTTTCCTACCTTAACACCTCACATGTCAGGAATCCAATCCAGATCTCCTTGAATGAAGAGAGACTGGGTCCACTTGAGAAAGGACCTTGGAACACAGCTAGAAATGTATATTGTAAATATGCTTTTTCTAGTTTTCCCCAAAGAAAGTCCCTTTACCAAGGCAACTGTGTTTTGGAGGAAGAGACATAATCGGACGACTTGGACACTGTTGAACATGACTCTGAACTGACATGAACGTGAAATGCTATTGTGGTTCATCAGTCATAGCAGTGGCTTATGGAGGTCATGTGATCATCTGGAGTCAGGTTTATCTTACTGCAGGCCTATTTGGATCCCTGAATCCACTCCATAGTTATTTCCAAGATCGAAGATGCCTACTTGAAATAGACACACACAGCCACTCCGGTATCCCATCCTCACAACTGAATTCAGAGAATAATGTCTACTGTAGCCTCTGCCACCGCTATTCTTGGCTTGTAGAGAATGGCCACTACAGAGACTTTGCAGAAAGGATGCTGCTGCTCTCCTCACCAACACATTTCTCCAAGACTGGCTGAAGATAGTCCTCTAGTTCAGGAGTTGGTAAACTATTTCAGTAAATGGCCAAGTAGTAAATATTTTAGACTTTGCAGGTCAAATGGCAAAATCAAGGATATTATATGGGTATTTACATAATAAGAGAGAAAAATTTCCGCTTTTTAAATGAAATTTAAAACATAATAACAATAACTGAGTACAATTATTATCACTAATAAAAGGAAAAGAATGGAATTATCTTTCAAGATAACAGTTTGCCTAATTAGAGTTCAAAGTTCATGTTTCCTACCATCAAAATTGATTGCTAATGCTCTGTAATGATCTGTAATGGGGTTTTAACATTTCGTCTTTGAAAATATCTTCTCACAGATATAGGAACGGCCAAGTGCTGATATTAATCTATGAGTGTCTGATTTTTAGCATATTTTTGCATGAAAGCCATTTGTAGAGTTCTACTGTTCTTTTGATATTTGCCTTTTAGCATGTCATTACGTTGCAGATCAATCACTTCTGATGGAAGCTTAGGTTTAAGCTCCTCGATGGCACAGTTAAATGCATTTTGAAATACGGAAATCTTTTTTGCGCTTACATTAAGATCCAAAAAACAATTAAGATCCAAAATTCCTCACTACTATGAGCTCAGAAAAACGCATCTGCTGAAAATTTGTGTGGTAGTGGAGATCTTGCATCTTTTTGACAGTTGGGAAATGTGTGGAACAGCTTGATGCTACTTGTGACTCTACCAACATTAACTGTCATCGAAATGACCTTACTGTAGTGTACGTTTCATATATATGCATACATATTACATGTTTTCTATATAAGCATCATTTTGCCTTGTAATTTGGGTTAAATTCATTAAAAGGCTTTATGCAATCTGAAACAGAAGCTAATTTCCAAAGCCATTCAGTATTTAATAGTAGCAGTTGAGGTGAGGGCATTTCTTCCCATTCAAAATAATTTTCCTCTCAGCCCTGAGTTGAAAAACCACAACTTGTCACTGCTAAGTCATCAAACCCTACGTGGGTGGACAAGCCAGGACCTTCAGCTACTATTTGTGATAAAATGTGCAAAAGTGACAATGCTTGGGACTACCAGAGTGAACTAAATTCATTGTTGACATTTCTTGTTCAATATGATACATTCAAACATTTCCCACAAAGTGCCTGCTGATGAGTGATACAATAAATAACTGTAGCTTATACTTTTCACAAGTTTTGAAACGTATTCAACTAAGCATTTTTCTGCTCCTTTGGTAATTTCACCACCCCCGGTTATAACACATCTTAGCAGATTTCACTTCAGGGTGTAATGAATGGTTGTTTTTTCAACTTCTCAGAAAGTATTCTCACCAGTAGTTTTTCCATGTAGACTACTCATGTAGGTTATTTCTTCAGTCACTCCCAACTGGCATTGACTCCTCTAACAAACAACTGAATAATGTTGGTAACATCTGTGGACTCATCAAGAGTCAAGGAAAACCAGGCCATATCACCTGCCTTATTTTTTAAATTAACTGTTGATGGTTGTTCCAATGTCCTCAACTCTCTCATCAACTATTCTCACCAAAAGACAGTCTTCAACAAGTTTCTTTTCTCTACACATATTTCTTAGGCTACTACAAGTGAACACTATTTAATTACCTCACCAGTAAACGGTTTCCTTGCGTGGCTAACAAAGGAACCAATCACAAACGTAGCTGGTTCCATCCTCATTTTCATTTTTCAAAAATTCTTGTGAAGAAACTGCTGTGACATGATATGCCATTTTAAATTTCCTAATTGTTGTGACCGTTGCTTCCCTGTAAGTTGGGAATGTGGTGATGAATACTTAGTCTGGTAATGTTCAAGTACATTGTGCTCTTTAGCAAATTTACAGCCAGATTGGATTCCAGTTCTCAGCGTTTTTGGAGACTAAGAGAGACGAGAGAACGAGAAGAGGAGAAAAATGAGGGACCCCAGGGAATATCTCCTTAGTTGTCTTCGTCTTTTGAGCTGTGCCTGGGTCGACTGACAGGATGCGGAAGAGCAGAAAGGCTTTCCATTGAATCCCTCACTGTCAGCTCTCTTCGAAATCTCCCTCCACCTATCCATGACCCGCTGCCAGGAATTGGATCCAACTGGCATGGGTGGAAGACAATAGGCTTCGTGGATTTCTGGATAGGCAACACTGTTGGCCAGCTATGCTTAAAGAACGTCCGACCTAAAAGCGAAAGTTGAAACCAATCAAGTACTGAAAAAGAAACGGAAGAAACTCTTGTTGTAGGCAGCCGAAATAGCTCAGTTGGGAGAGCGTTAGACTGAAGATCTAAAGGTCCCTGGTTCAATCCCGGGTTTCGGCACAAAGAGGACTCAGTTTTAGTCAACTTCAAAGGTGATTTGCTTCCCTGTGAGTCAGGAAATGTTGTGAGTGGTTTTCGCTCTGATGACGTTCTCATACGCTCTATGTCCTTCTCAAGCTAAAGTGTAATTGCGCGACAAGCGCAACGCTGTTCCGTGATTCCGTGATAAAGGAGTTGACCATCGAAGCCCACTTTTCTCTTATTGTTTTCACAGGATCTGTAAGCAGTGGCAATAAAAAGATAAGAATAAGATTGGGTCCAGAGATGCACATGGCACTGAAAAAGTTGTGGACCCACTAATGAGTCGCTGCGAGTTGTGGCCCGCACAGCAGCGGTGGGAAGGGAAAGGAGCGCGCAGGTCGTCTCTGTCGCACCTACGCTCCGTTGCAGCCCGAAAGCAGCCACACACAATACACAAAGTAAGCGGCTGTGTTCGAACAAAACTTTGCCCATGGACAGTGAAATTTGAATTTTATGTAAAATTCGTGTGTCACGAAACACTATCCTTGCCTTTATTTTCTCAACCTTTTAAAATAAAAAACGCTGCTCGTTTGGCAGCACATATACTAAAATCGGAAAGATACAGAGGAGACTAGCAGGGTCCCTCCTGCAAGGATGACACGCAAATTCATGGCACGTTGCTTTTCTTTTTCTTTTTTTAATGTGAAAAAAAAAACATTCTTAGTTCGAAGACAATAATTTACCAACCAGTAGGGTGGAGGATCCCATTGCAAAAACTCAGAACTTTAAGAGCAGGTGAGATCTCCGTAGCCTGCTACGGCTCAGAAATAACCGGAGAATAAATGCGAACAAACGGAACAGGAACCCCTGGGGATTCGAACTTGTGTTTCCCCGGAATAAAATTTGAAAGTCTACGGAGTGAGCTACCGGAGTCCATAGGTCCAGCTGCTGTGCATATATTCAACTAATTCGTTTCTTAGATCTCGTCCTAGTTTGTAAATCTCTTTGGCATACTCTTCCTTGCATTTTGAAATTCCATGCATCATTGCATGGAATCATCATCATTTCTTCCTTGCATCAGAAAATTCCATTTGAAAGAGACGCCATAATCGCTGGCTCTCTCCTCTTTCTGTCTCCCACTCCTCGAGGCGTCCAGAACCAGAGCTGAAGCGTCCCCTAGAAGACGTCGCCGCAGGGTTTGCAGACCATATTGCTGGACTCGAGGTGTTTTCATTTCCTGGTAAGTGTTGTGCGTTCATCCCTTTCTCTCTTTTTTATTTCCCCGCGCGGAGTCAAACTCTCGAGGAGGCGCCCCATGCGTCTTCGTGTCTGTTTGCATTGTTTTCCATTTATCTTGCAGCCTTTGTAGACAGAGGGGGAGAAAAATGAGGAGAGAGATTTAAAGACACGAGAGTACGTTCCATAGTGGGCCTCTCTCGGTTGGAGGACGGAACTGCCACTCAGGCAATCCCTTGGCAAGCCGACCTGGGAGCCGGCCACCGTGGGAAGACCGTGAGGAAGAGTGTCTTTTCGGCTCGCCTGCGGTGCCACTTCTCCTGCCAGAGTCACAGGACCGGATTCAGAGTAGGGGCTTCAGAAACAAAGGAACTGAACACACTACCCTCCGTTCTGCCAACTATTACGTCCTCGAAGACTCCTGGAAAAGGAAGGTTATCAGTCCGGAACCTTTCCTCAGTAGCTGAGTGTCCTGGTGAACGTGGCTGAGCTGTGGAGAGAACACTGAGCCGGGAAGAAGGCCCAGGTGTGATCTTCGTTCCTCCACGCTTGCACTCTTCCAGCCACAGCTCCCCGACCATGTCCGGGCCTCTCCTCTCCCGTTCTTTTTTGTTTTTCTTACTTTTGTTTTCGCATTTCTTTATTCATCTTTTCCCGCTCACACTCGAGGGACACGAGTTATCCAGTTTGCGGCTTTTATTACTCAAGCGATTGTACTCGTGCAGCTTTGGAGTCGACGGCCTAACGTGATTATGTGAGAACAAGGAAGCCTGGGTCGCGTGAGACAACGCGGACACGCACTCTTCGCCCAGGGCAGCAAGCACGCCAGCTCCACGTGAACGTGCCGGTCAACGGTTCATTCGCAAAATCACGGAGCAGCGCGGGGGGAAAAGAACGAAAGGGAAACAATAAGAGGACCACGGAGCATTTCCTGCTCTATTTTCTCAGCTACGTCCTTCTCAAGAAAGAGGCTGCAGGCTGAGGAGAAAAACGCCTGCCACTCATTTTCTTCCTCCCCTTTCTACTTTCCAGGCTCCACTGATGCAATTCAGCTCGGTCACCAGACGCTGATCTCAGTGGGTCTGAGTTCTTCTGCGCGGATGGACGCTGCACACGAACGCCACTTTCCACAAGAAGGCTGGGAGATCCAAACCCCAACGTGAAAATAATTATTAGGATTAGTGAATGTAGAGTTTTCTAGTGTGACTGGAATGGCTAGATTGAGAGAGAATTTAGACGAAGAGAGCCGGGATCTGTTCCCAGGCTTTGGCGGTCGTGAGGTTTAGTCAAAAACGATTCTTTAGCAATTCACATACAGAAGCTTCCTGACCACAGACACGCTCTTGCAGCCAGTGTCTGCAGTGAACCGTCTAGAGGGCTGAAATGGGGAGAATCGGAATGCCATGCTCTCAAATCTTTTAGTCACCCTATTTAAATAAATTGAAGAAATGCTTTGTGGTACACATCAGAAAACCACACGGAATCATTGGAGGAACCAGTGCTGAAAGGGTTTGGAAATAAATGGCCATTATCAGCCGCCAGACGAAAGTGAACCCTTGTCAGAGGTTTCAGGTATTTACTTTTATTCTTTCGAATTTCTGTGCCAATCTTACCAGGCGAGTCGTTGCATTCTCGGAGGGAAAGGAATTTGATGGTCTTGTTCCAACTGCTAACCTTACTCCGCCGCCCGGTGCCTGCCCTTGAAATGTCCCCTCCTTCACACTGAAATATTTGTTTTTTAAGAGTAGGTGTAGTTCTGAAGTTCTGTTTTATACTATTTGGAACAAAACACAAGATGGAAGGGTGCAGCCAGAACTGAGAACCGTCTGGGAACGTGCGCTGGAGCCTGCGCGTCAGCTGGAACTTTGGATTCAGCGCAGGCAGGCTCCACTCCAGGCTGCCCTGTGGCTTTGACTCGCTCATTCACGCCAGGGCACTGAATTGTGGGAAAGTAGCTTTTCCATCACAAAATGGTAAGACGGCAAGCCGGCTAGTGTCTGGCTTTTTTCTTGCTAATTCTTTGGCCAGACTGAGAAGATGCCAACAGAGGGAATGGCAACACCCTACTGACAATTCTGGAATCTGGTATCTGAGTGAGAGACACCAGATAAAAAGAGTTTTATGAGGCCATTGTCAGGCTTTGAAGACTGGTGTTACTTTCCAAAGAAGTCAGCATAAACTTTTGGAATCAGACATATTTATTTGGTTATCTTTTTTTTTCACGTGCAAATAATCATCATTTTTCTCCTGCCCAAGATTTTATAATTCTCTTTTTTTCTTTTTTTTTTTTTTTGCCTCTCTCATTCCTGTTGTTTCTAACTCAAGCCTGGTTTTCAAAAGAGTGACTTGCTGCAGTAAATCAAAGCAAAGATACCACCTGCTTCAAATATGTTCTACTTTGTCCTTTTACCATTTTCCTTAAGTCTGAGTCCTTGGGTTTTTATTCCATCTGTGTTTTTTACATAAGAAAACCTATATTTTACATTCTGTGTTTTCAACTAAATTTTAACTTAAAGAGGAATAAAAACCACGAAAATATGTTCATGTCTAAATGTGGAATCCTTTCAATTTTTTTATTTTCTGGCTAACTTATCTTTTTTCTCATTTATATAAAATTTAAAAGCATTTTTCTTTCTCTTAACCGAGTGGATTTTGTAGAATTATTCCAAAACATCTTCCTCCTCCCTCATCATTTTACACCGGATTATCCAATGTTTAAGTCAGTTATAAAATTGAAAAATTCATCAATGGAATAGAATAAGATGTGGGAACAAAAATAGACTCATCAGCATGCAGTCTAACTCATGGAAACAGAAGTGTGAGTGTGCGGGGAGTCACTACTAGAAGGTAGCCTAATAGCCTTAGGCACCTCAGCTGTATAGCTGACAGACCTAGTGGATGGATTGATTAATAAATGGGCTGGTTAAGTGCAATTGAATAAAGAGCTGCTAAAATGCAGTCTGTAGTTTGAAGATCTAAACTGAATTATATATTTTACCAAAGCTCTATCCTCATTTATTGAGTCTATATGATTCTTCACTTTTAACCCATTGGTGAGCTGTAAAAATCCACTAACCTATTAATAATCCATTTTTCTGTTCCTGTAATACAGTCTGTATTTCAAAGGTAAAGTTGAACTTAGTAATAACTTTTGAATCTATATACACATGTAAGTTTTTCTTTCTTTTTAAATGTAGTCCTTGCAAGTCTTCAGTCAAGGTTATGCACGCTTTCTAGCATTGAACTGGATTGTTTTTTGCCTTTGTGTCTGCTTTGCAAAATTTCAAACATCAGCATGAAGCGAGAAGAACACAGATTCACATTCCCAGTCCTGCGGTCGCGTCAGGACCCCCGCTGACTCTGTCTCACCAACCACTTGCCAAATCTTTCCAAAAACATTTGTTGGACCACCGCTGAGTTTCAGGCACCGGACTAGATGATAAGCCTCCAAAACCCCTAAAGGACTCCACAATTGTTCACTGAAAGCTTGGTAAAAGATACCTAAATTCTCTGACAATGAGTAATTTCTCCCTGTTAGGTAATTATGACAACTTCAAAGAAGGGAAAAGCATTCCAAAGGATAATTTCCTCATGTGGAGTGTCATTGCCCTGAGGATCTTTTCCCCATGAAAATGTGAAGTATTCACTGAGAAGTCTAACTGCCTGACTTCCAATCTTGGCTCTGCTACATATCAGATGTGAGCCCTGGGGCCAGTTACTTGACCTTTTTGGGGATCCAGTATTTAATGACAAGTACTCAAATTATGACTTCAATCAAATTCCCTTATTGCTATTGTTATTATATATCCATTTTCCCCAAGCACTTTAAGCAACCAGTAACAGATTGGCCAAAGAATACTTACAGCAACACCCTAAGAAGCAGGAAATATTGGGGTGCTGTTAATCAAATACACCCTGTGAAGGAAAGTCACCTTGAATATAAGACCACACATTGAAGCGAAATCATTCCTGCATGCAGTTGCTAATGCATCTCTATATCACAACGTTGTTAAAGAATAATTTTCCCAAAATGATAAAATCATGACTGTCATACAAACATAAAATGAATATGTGCCAAAGATTTTATTTAACTGATTAGTCAATGAGTTAACCATTAACGAGTGGTTATTTATTTTTTAAAGATTTTATTTTTCCTTTTTCTCCCCAAAGCCCCCTGGTACGTAGTTGTGTATTTTTAGTTGTGGGTCCTTCTCGTTGTGCCATGTGGGATGCCACCTCAGCATGGCTTGATGAGCAGTGCCATGTCTGAACCCAGGATTCGAACCAGCAATACCCTGGACCACTGAAGCAGAGTGCGGGAATTTAACCACTTGGCCAAGAGGCCGGCCCCTAATGAGTGATTATTAACATAATAATTAACTCATTTACTTAATGAGTAAGATGTTACAACTAGCTAAAAAGAACTCAAAGTACCACGCATTTGCAGTCAGAT